ACACACACACACACACACACACACACATATCCATAAACACACAGCCGATAGTAGAGTAGAAAGTGAACCCAGACAATTCACTTGTGAAACCACGTCCGGCCTCTTGCCACAGCACCCACCACCACATCATCATCATCATGATACTGCAGGAAGCTCAGCCTCATAAGCCTTGAAGAATAATTACTTAAACGAAATTATTCATATTTACATGTGGTTACTAATTCACCCCTCTCTATCTTAAAGACTGCATCAGTTTCATTATTTCTCCATCATCCTCAGGTTCCTACACAATCCTAATGCTGTGCTCGTATCTTGAACCTTGTCTGACCAACCACTCTCTAAGTGTCTGATCAGATTGTGTATTCCCAGGACATTCCCATTCCCATTCCCGAAGCCATTAAGGCACTTCACTCGTGGCTAAATGCGAAGATGACCTCCAGCCGGGCCCACTGCTCCCCATTAAGGTCAATCAAAACAGGGCTCTGAGTAGTTTGCACGGAGCTCATCTGTAGTGCACCGCCTCTGCTCTCTGTACATTAACACTCACACGCACAGAAACTTATTCATTAAAGCTGCAGCTCTCGTGGGGTCATTTGTTCAGTTAGATGGCAAGACAGCGTTTCTCTGTCGAGCAGGTAGCAGTTAGTGTCTTCATTTATTTTAGTCAGACTGGAGGAAGCAGAGTTTTTTTCTCTTCACCGTAATTAAACCTCATCCGGCTCAACGGCGTTGGATCACAATTAAGCACGTCGGGCTAATTTTGGTTAAAACGAGAGAAGCAGAGAATGGCCGCTGTTTCCACTTTGGATAGTTGGATCTTTGCAGGAGCTGCTAATGGGGGTTTGTTCAGGGCTGGAACAGGATGCAACATGATTCAATGAATATGTGTAATTTTTAGTTATTGTTTAGTAATAATTTAATTATACCTAAAGGGCAGTTTTCTGAGAACTTACAAAAAGCTTAAAAGGGAGAGATAAAGCATAAACAAAGTATACATATTGTATATAATGTCAAGTATAACGGTTATTAGATGAACTAACCCTTTGTTTCAAAAAATCTCATGAAGGACTTGACTGTTTTGTTGCTCTGAATAATGAATAATGAGTTAATATAGTGCTCAACCCTGCACAATTTCATATGCCTCCCTTTCCCAAGTAAATTAGACATTTTCATTTAAGTGCAAGTCAGAGATTTCGAAGGTCCTTCATCCCAACAGCCAAAAGACTTTTCAACAAACACGTAAAAACAATGTAATAATCATTCCTCTCCTTTTTCTGAATCTACCTCCTGCATATATATCTATCTCATGTGCAATATTTATATTCAATCTTTAGGTGTGTGTGCAAGACTTGAATTTCTGCTGCTGTAATGTCGAAATTTCCCCAGTGTGGGATGAATAAAGTCTATCTTATCTTATCTTATCTTAAAACCTGAAGAGACATGTGCTAAATGACTGAGAGATAAAACAGCAACAATGCAGAGTGATTCCCTCTCCAGGTCATAAAGTTGCAGCACAGCACGTCTCCTCTGTGTCACTTTCTCCTGGGCTACATTTCTGGTCACTGATAGTTACTTACATGCCAGTCGCTTGTTGTGGTTGGTCGACCCGGTGGACGACATGATCCAGTGGATGTGGGATTGGTTGAAGAGAGTGTTTACCCCTGGAGAGTGTGTGGATGTCTCTCGTCCCTCCCTGTCGAGGCTCCAGGACAGGATGCTGGTGTATGTCTGTGGTGGTCGGTCATCTAGTCATTGCCTCTCTTGACTCTGGCACCTGGTCTGTCAAAGATGGTAGATTCACATCATCCTTTATTTCCCCCCCAGAGTCTCTCCTCCTCTCTGTCCTCTGCTCTGTCTGTTTTGCTGTATTTGCTGACGTCCTCTTTCTCTTTCTGATGCCTCTGCTGTTCTTTCTCGGGATTTTCCCCTCTCACTGCTTCACACTCTCATCTCAACGGCTGCCTCTGTGATCTCTCTCACACACACACACACTCTGTCTTGCTCTCTCTATCAGACAGTCTCACTCTAGGGTTGAAGGGAGCTGTGCAGCTGAGGGACGGGGGGAGAGTCTCATAGTGGGCTACGGCACTGTGGCCTGTACCAACTTGTGACAACGAGGGGGTCAGCAGGATCAGGAGGCGTACAGGCTTTTTACATAATATTCAGGAAGTACCAGGATTAAACCCCTCCCATCTCAACCATCTTTACGGTATCTGTTCATTTATTTATTCACTTTGTTGAAGTAAAAAAGGTCTGGAGGTGATTTATTATAAGAAGTGCTGCTTTTAATTAAGAGACATGTGCACAACTGATTCTTATCACCTACTTTATGTCACAAAATCCATATAAAAAAAAATCTAAATCATGTTTGCTCTTTTGCATTTTTCCTTTAATTTGTATTCTATTTCAACATGACTATATTTAAAGAGGGATTTCCGGTTTTGCAATTCCCATAGTTTGGGAACTCAACAGAAACTTTTAAAAGAAACATGATAGTTAAATAAAGAAAAAGGTCAAAATCAATGCAACAGAGGAGCACAGTCTTTTAAACCTTAGAGGCACAGTGATGTTTTGGGCTAAAGGCTAACATGGGCATGCAATGTTAAAGGGATAGTTCACTGAAAAATGAAAATGTACTCATTATCTACTCACCGTGAAGTGTCTTTAATATCATGAAATACCTCCATACTGCTCCTGTGGTAGTCAACAGTTAATTTAATTGTATTGGATTTGGCTGCAACACTCTTTACCCCTGAAACTCCAAAAGTGCTCTGCAGACACTTCACTAGCATTGTGGTGAGTAGATTCATTTTTTTGGTGAACTATTCCTTTAAGCAGGGTTATTGAATATTACCTCAGGTGCTGATTAGAATTAGCTGAGAGAATTTCATTAGTATTTGGTCATTAACCAAATGATCTTCTACAAATTCAATTAAATATAATAAAAAATGTATAAATGTAATTAATAAATACATGTAATTATTGTATTGTGAGATCCCACGTTGGTCCCAAAATCCATTTTTCTGGTGTAGATTCTCCTCCAGAATTGCTCTCTCTGTTCAGGAAGCACTAAAATGCAGTAGAATTGACAATTTGACCGTTTCTGGAAACGAGCGGTGGAAGCTTCCACAGGTTATTAACATTTACGTCTGCAGACTTGGCAGCTAATTAAAAGGTGAGAAACCCATTGCCCTTTATTAATGACCTGATAACATTGAGTCTTAGCAGCGTATTAAAAGTTAGACATTAATTATGTATAAATAGCAATGAAAGCTGCCTCTGCCCCTGATATTTCATGAGCCTTTGTAGAATAGTTTGTAGAGATCTGTGGCACAGTTCAGTTTTTTTTTTAGTTTGCTTGAACTTAAACTTAATTTGTGAAATTCAATAAAAAGAATTGCGTAAATTCTCAGGTTCTTTTTTCGGCCTTTGTTAAAGAGGTTTCTTAATGCAAGCCTGAACAGTATACAGTAATAACAGGTAATTAAACAAACACGTATACACACACATACACACAGAAACACAATAACACACTGTGACTGTCGCACAAGGGGGTTAATAGGCACTTTGCATCATGGAGTCTTGCAGGTCCTCGCTCCCTGTTCCCTAATAAGAGGCTTCTAACAGCCAATTACATCTCACTCAGCTGGACGAGTTTGCTGCAGTTTAACCACTGATGACACGGAAAACTCGTTGCACACTATGAGAAATACTGTATAACACGATATGATTCCTGGCCACATTCAGACGCTGTGGTGACGTATGACCTCAGACATATTTAATACTCTACTCTCATTAGCCAAAAAATATTTTGACAGCTGATTTACGTCAGAACACCACAAGTTGGCTGAATTCTATAATGGTCTAACAACAACGTATAAAACCGTTGATGCATCAAAAATGGGAGAGAGGATTTTCATCATTTCACCTGACAACACTTTATCCATTTATACATTACAGTAAATCTCCCTTTCCTCATCTCAACTTCAATAGTTAGAAGATACTGGCATCTGCTGGTGAAGATGTTGTATTACATTTTGTCTCACACTAGGAAAGCACCTGCTGTATGTGAGTGACCGCAATGATAACTTTAAAAATGACATTACCACTTCTCTTTTCATGAAACGCCCCAAGTAAGATACACTGAAGAAATCACACTCAACATCAGGAAACACATATTTATCATGCGTTGATATCTTGGTCAACAACCACTGGTGCTCTACAGCTGCTTTTTGGGGAATGAATCATGATCGTGATTATATCTTTAAAATGTATATTTCAGGTTTCAGGTGCTCCCAAGTTTAATTCATTCAGATGAACAAAAGGGGATTTCCAGTGTCATAATCTGTTAGTGTGAATGTACGTGTGTGTGTGTGTGTGTGTGTGTG